TCAAGTGGTTCTCCAAGGGATTCGACGCACGAGTTCAACATAGAGGTCTTGGACCCGTTGACGTCCGAGGATTTTGCATGGCTTTCTCTCCCTTCCACTGGCTGCTTACCGGAACCGCAATGCGGAGCATTATGCGCCCATCTCCACACATACTTAGCCTTCTATGCACCACCATCTTCGCCGACGGATGACGAAGCTGCAGTGGGGGACATCCTTGCGTACGTTAGCAAGGTGGCCTGCGAGTTTCGCACGCAGTGGTACGATGATAACAACACACCGCTCCTTTATGTCCGAATCCAAGTTGGGCAAGCATCCTGCAGCGCTTTGCTGGATAGCGGCGCGACTCGCAATTTCATCAGCCAGTCCTTTATCCAAATGTCCGGCCTTGGCGCAAAAGTTCGAAGGAAGCCAAACCCGACGGCGATCAAGTTGGCGGACGGTCGGACGCAACATCTCCTCGATCGCTACATCGAAGCCGTGCCGGTTTATTTCGCACCTCATGCATGCGAACTGCTGAAATTTGACGTCTTGGACACGGACTTCGACATCATTTTGGGAATGCCTTGGCTTGCAAGTGCGGATCACACGGTTAACTTCCATCGGCGGACACTTACCGTTCATGACGCCTTCGACGCCGAGGTGCTGTGTACCATTCCTCTTCCGCACCCTTCGATCCGGTGAGAGGTTGTAACGGCCAAGTCTTTTCAGGCCACTTGCGCGCACGAGCGGACCGACGAGATAGGCCGATGTTTTCTACGGACTGTCGCGACAACCGAATCTTCACCTACAGACTTGTCTTCAGACCCTCGAGTGGTGTGCTTACTCGACGAGTTCACCGACATCTTCGAGACTCCTACCGGTGTGGTGCCGGATCGGTCGATCTCCCACAAGATCATTCTTGAGTCTGGTGCCGTGCTGCCGAAAGGATGCATCTATCGCATGAGCGAGGAAGAGCTCGCGGTTCTCCGCGCGCAACTCGATGATCTATTGGACAAGGGTTGGATCTGCCGTACTAGCTCACAATATGGTGCGCTTGTTCTCTTCATACGAAAGAAGAACAAGGATCTTCGCTTGTGCATCGATTACCTCAAGCTCAACACACAAACCGTCAAGAATGCGGGACCTTTTCCGCGCATTGACGACCTTCTCGAACGTTTGGGTGGCGCGGAATTATTTTCGAAGTTGGACTTGAAGTTGGGCTATCATCAGATCTCGCTACGCTCGCAAGATCACTACAAATCCGCGTTCAAGATGCGGTACGGGCATTTTGAGTGGGTTGTTATGGCTTTTGGGCTCACCAATGCCCCAATTTTGAGTGGGTTGTTATGGCTTTTGGGCTCACCAAGCGGCGATGACCAACGAGTTCCGCGCGATGTTGGACCGGTTTGTGCTGGTCTACTTGGACGACATTCTCGTCTATAGCCAAACCTCAGAGGAACATCTCGGTCACCTTCGACATGTACGCTCCGTCGCGCCAAGTACAAGGCCAACCGCGACAAGTGCAAATTCGTGCGTCAAGAGTTGGAGTACTTGGGTCATTTTGTCACACCGGAGGGCATCAGTCCGTTGTCGGACAAGATCTACGCCATCCAAGACTGGCCGGAGCCGGAGAACGTCACAAATGTCCGTTCCTTCCTTGGCTTAGCCGAGTACTATCAACGCATCATCAAGGGATACTCGAAGATCGCGGCTCATTTATCCAAGCTTCAATACGAGGACCGACCATTCGACTTCGACCACAATGCGCGGGCTTCCTTTTTGGACCTCAAAGCCACATTGCTATCCGCAGAGGTGTTGCGCATCTACGATCCGCTTCTGCCAACACGCGTCACTACCGATGCGTCCGGCTATGGCATTGGTAACGTCCTCGAGCAACATGATGGCGTGGACTGGCACCCAATCGAGTGCTTTAGCAAGAAAGTGCCCGCCGTGCACTCAATTGACGACGCACGGAAGGAGGAATTATTGGCCTTCGTACACGCGCTCAAGCACTAGTGGCACTTTCTTCTTGGTCGACGGCAGTTCCGATGGGTAACGGATAACAATCCGTTGGTCTTCTACTCGACCCGAGACACGATTAATAGCACCATTGCCCGTTGGATGGCCTTCATCAACCACTTTGACTTTTTCCCCAACCACATTTCGGGCAAGTCAAACCATTTTGCGGATGCTCTTTCACGACGCCCAGACCATTGTACCGCAGTCTACTCGACTTTTGAGATTGACAACGACTTGCGGGACACCGTGTAGACCCCCGTACGAGTACGGACCATCCGTCCGTACATACGGCCGTACGTACAGGCTCATGTGTCATACTGGCCGTACGTACAAAAAAAAAAGCAAAAAAAAAAAAGCAAAAAAATCTGAAAAAAAAAAATTTATGCAGAAAAATAAAATGAAACACTTTTGCCTCAGGGTCATATTGAAATTCTTTACCAAATTTGAGATTAAAAAAAAAGGTTTTTTTTGTTTTTTGTTTTTTTTTTTTCCGTACGGGGCTGTACGTACGGCCGTACGGCCGTACAGCCGTTCGTACGACCGTACGATAAACCCCCCGTACGTCGTACGGAGTGTTACACAGGCGGGACAGCTTCATCCGCGGCTACCAAGCCAACCCGAAGTTTCGCGACAAGTACGCGAATTATTACTCTCCCAATCCGACGCCATTGCACTATCGGATCCAAGAGGGTTCCAGTCCCTTTGCGCCGAAGGGAAGCGATTGCCATGGACATTACCCGGCAGTTCCCCAAGCACAAGACTGGTGTGGATGGGATTCTCATGGTGGTCGACTGAATCACCATGTTTGCCATGTTTTTGCCTTGCCGCTATCATGCCAAGGCACCGGTTAGCCGAGGTTCTTTTCGCTGGTTGGATTCGAACCAAGGGGTACCCCAGGGAAATCGTTTGCAACCGCGACACTCGGTTCATGTCCGATTTTTGGTTGGCGCTCATCAAACGATGGGGCTCATCTCTCAAGCCGAGTTTGGCTCGCCACCCCCAAACTGATGGCCAAACGGAGAGGGCGCATTAGACCGCACAGGTCCTACTTCGCACTCTCATCCGTTCCGACCAAAAGGATTGGGTTGAGCGGCTGTCGGATGTCGAGTTGGGATACAACTCATCTATCCATCCGGCTATCGGTATGTCACCCTTTGAGTTTGAGCATGGCTCGCCAGTCACGTCTCCGTTGGACACAATTATCCCACGGGCGGCCAAGAGCGAAGACCATCTTCTCTTCATTCGTTGGATGCAAGAGCTTCTTATCAAGGCACGTGACCAGATGTCGAAGATGCAGCAACGTATGCGCCAACAGGCCAACTGCCAGTGTCTTCCTTGTCCGTTCCGCGCCAGCGACCTCGTATGGGTCTCCGCCGCAGAATTCAGCCTCGAGCAATATCTCTCTCGCAAGCTCCCTCCGAAATGGACGGGATGGGGCCCTGGCCCATTGTGGCACCCGCTGGGGATGCACTCGAAGGACCTTCATTTGTCATTCAGGTGCCCGCCCACTTAAAACTACCCGGTCTTCCATTGTTCGAAGTTAGCACTGTTCACTCCAGCAGAACACAACGACTTTCCCGGGCGACGATCGCAAGACCCACCCTCTATGGACGGTTTTCAAGAGGTTGGCAACATCATCCCCCAGCGATGCTACAGCAACAGGCTGACAGAGTACTTGGTACACTTCTCTTACTGTATCCATAAGGCTGACCGTTGGTTGACCCGTACGGAACTTCAGGCAACAGCGCCCAACGTTCTCACACGTTACAAACGCAAGTTACAAGGCAAGCCGATACCTTCGGCTCCACATCGTACTCGCGTCCGGGTTCCACCTTCGGATCGTCATTTGCGACCTCGACCCGGCTTGACTTCATAAGGAAGGGGGGGTGTTGCATGCTGCACCTGCACACAACTCCCATTTACAGGGCCCGGTGGTTGCTGAGGGCCCCCCAGGCCGCACGCCATCCAGCGCGCACCCTGGAGGCCCACGGCGGCCTTTCTAGGCCGCAGGTACAGCCTGAGGCAGCATTTATTTATTTATTTATTTATTTATGTATTTGAATATGCGGCCCTACTTGAATATGCCGCTGGTACAGCCTGAGGTACACCCTGGAGGCCCATGTGCGTGTGCAAGGAGGGACCTTTCTTCCATGTATGCGGTCCTTCCTCTCTCTCACACGTGGTGTATGATGGGGTGTTGAGTCAGTATCTGACAGGTCAGATCATATCTTGTTCCGCTGCGCTACACTGTGCTATTTCATATGTATGTGGATGTGCATTGCTTGTTGACGCTTGGCTGGCGCTGCATTGCCCATACGAGTCCATTTCATCACTTTGCAGATCTTTGGCCCCCCCTACATCGCCCGATTGGGCATGCTTCACACACACACACACACACACACACACACAC